TGATGCCTTGTTTTTTTTTTGTTTTTTACTGTCATCGGACTTGAACTTGGGGCCTGGGTGCTGTCTCTTGAGACCTTGCTCAAGGTTAGCATTCTACCACTTTGAGCCACAGTGCCACTTCCTGCTTTTTGGTGGTTAATTGGAGATAAGAGTCTCAAGCTGTTTCCTGCCTGGGCTGGCTCTGAACCTCAATCATCAGATCACATCCTCCTGTGTAGCTAGGATTATAGGTGTGAGCCACTGGTGTCTGGCCTATGACAGGCTTATCCAAACCAGGAATAGAAATTTTTCTCCCATTAAGTAGTTGAAAGGTCTAAAATAGTTAACCCTCCATGTGGAAGTGTTTTTGAGGCTGAAGTGATTAACTCAATGTAATTTGTGTTTCTCCAAATTTCAACAATTTAGAGTGAAGTTTTCTTTTTAATTATGTGAGAAATGTCTAAAATAAGATGCATGATTTGTACATGTGCTGAGTAGGTCATTTTGCAAATGCTCTCACTCTAGCCATCCTATGTTTCCATCATGTTTTTCCTTTGGTGCAGGCTCTGGGGCTTGAACTCAAAGGCCTGGCCTAGATGTTGCCACTGAGTTGTTTTTTTTTCCCCCGTTGGTTGTGGGGCTTGAACTCTGAGCCCAGACCCTGTCTCTGAGCCCTTCAGCTCAAGGCTAGTGCTCTACCACTTTGAGCCACAGAGCCACTTCTGGTTTTCTAGTGGACTATCCTGCCTGAGCTGCTTTGAAATGCAATCCTCAGATCTCAGCCTACTGAGTCTCTAGAATTACAGATATGAGCCACTGGCACCTGGCATGCCACTGAAGTTTTTTTTTTTTTTTTTTTTTTTTTTGCTCAAGGCTACTGTAGACCACGTAAGCCACAGTTCAATATCTGGCTTTTCTACCTTTAGTAGTTTTTTGGTGATAGAGTCTCATGGACTTTATGAGAAAGAACCATGGACTTTCCAGGCTTTGAACTGTGATCCTCAGCTCTCAGCCTCCTGAGTAGCTATGAGTACAGGTAGGCATGAGCCACTAGTACACAGCTCATTTTTTTTGTTTTTGCCAGTCCTGGGGTTTGAACTCAGGGCCTGGGCACTGTCCCTGAGCTGCTTCTGCTCTACCACTTGAGCATCAGCTCCACTTCCAGCTTTTTCTGTTTATGTGGTACTGAGGAATCAAACCCAGGGCTTCATGCATAGGTAAGCATGCTACTAAGCCACATTCCTAGCCCCCAGGTTTTTTTTGGTTGGTTGTTCATGGGACTTGAACTCAGGACCTGGTGCTCTAACTGAGCATTTTTGCTCAAGGGTAGCACTCTACCATTTGGAGTCACAGCTCTATTCCTGGTTTCCTGGTGGTTAACTGGAGATAAGTCTCACTGACTTTCCTGCCCCAGCTGGCATTGTACTATGATCCTCAGATCTTAGCCTCTGGAGCAGCTATGATTATTTTTAGGCATGAGCCACCAGTATGGAGCACTAGCTTGTTTTGTTTTTTTGGTTGGTTGTGGGGCTTGAACTCTGGGCCTGGGCTTTGTCCCTGAGCTCTTCAGCTCAAGGCTACTGCTCTACCACTTGAACTATGGTGCCACGGACTTTCTTGCCCAGGCTGGCTTTGAACCATGATCCTCAGATCTCAGCCTCCTAAGTAGCTAGGATTACAGGTGTGAGCCACCGGCACCTGGCTTCACTAGCTTGTTTTAATAACTAATCATTGACCATATATGAAATGGAGAAAGTGTGAAAGTAGTAGTGTGGGGGAGGGAAGGACCCTCAAAGTTTGGGATGGTCAGGTCCTGAGAAATGTTCACAGCTCAATCCACCTAAACAAGACGAGATGGCTGAGTTTATCAAGATTGATGTATTTAGGAAGCATGAGGTCTAAGAATTTAGCAACAATTAGAAAGCAAAAGATTTGTGAGCTTCCTTAACTCATTTTTAAGGACAATTATCCTCACATCTTTTGGCAATAGAATCTGTTCCAATCTATGAGGAAAAAAAATCAGTGGATCTCCCAGAAGCCTCAAAGCTCTGCACAGGACTACAACCACAACCACAAGAGGTAGGTATTTATTATAAACTAAGTTACTTTAAAAATATTCATATATATGGGCTGGTAAATTGGCTCAGTGGTAGAGTGCTCACTTCGAGCAAATTAGCCTCAGGGACAGTGGTGAGGCCCTAAGTTCAAGTCTCATGACTGGCGCGCACACACACACACACACACACACACGCACACACACACAGAGAGAGAGAGAGCCAGGTGCAAGTAGCTCACACCTTTATCCCTAACTACTCCAGAGGCTGAGATCTGCGGTTCACAGTTCAAAGCCAGTCTCAGCAGGAAAGTCCATGAGACTCTTATCTTCCCAGCCATATGAAATCATAGTTTCTGGGTCTCACTGTACTGACACGAATCAAGAATCTGTCCCTTTTTTTGCTTGTTTAAGATAGGATCTAGACATGTAGCTCAGCTAGCCTTTAACTAACAATCCTCCTGTGTTAGCCTTATGAGTGTTGGGATTACAGGTGTGTGCCACTATAATCAATCTAGGTTTCTCAACATTCAATTCCTTTGTTTCTATACACTCAATTCCTCCTCTTCATTTCTCTCCCCATCATTATTCTTGCTTAGTGAATATAATTTTAAGTATACAAGGAACACAGTAAGATTTTCTTAAAACAAGTACACTAAAATAAAAAATGACCATGCAGACAGTAGTTATTTTCATAATTTAATGAAAAAGTATTGGTAAGATGACTTTGAAAACAGATTGTATTGATCTTGAAAAATCAGACCTTCTAAGATAAAAAATTAATAGAAGCAAGAGGTAATACTTTAACAAAATGTAGCAAATGCAATCTGGGGCAGTTGAAATGTATACAATAGAAGGCTCCTTCATTTATTTAGAAAAATGTTGCAAAAATATTATTACTATATTTCCTGATTGAAATGATGCGTAGTCAATCTTCTCCCATGGCATTGCATATGGAAAGTGGCTGAAGTATATTGTTCCCATTTGCTTTCTCTCCCATGCACACAAAATGGAAAGGCATGACAAGATGAATATAAAATCCTGTACTGGCCTCTAACACCAAGAGGCCTTTTCAACATAATTCTCTTATAATTTTGTTACCATGAAAGTGTCAAATTTTTATCCACAGAAGAATAGTCAGGTGTAGGGGCAAGTTCTCTCCACTATTTTTCCATTCAAAAGCTCTACATCACACTTGTACATTGGCACAGAAGAAACATTCTGAAGACAGCCAAGCATCAGGTAAAATACAGAAGTTTCCAGAAAGGGAGAAAAGCACAAGAACCTTTTTTTGACAAAGTCAGAACAAAAATGGGGTGAGGAAAAGAGTGTTGAGTTTTCTGTAGCCACCAAACCATCGTAGGCTTCACTGACTGGCACCTTACCGGAGCCAGGCTATTTCACCAATATAAAACCTTAGAAATTGAAAATGGCCTCTTCTGTTTGAAAATTATCACTACATTTTTCCAAGCTACAAAAAAGAGAATATTGTGAGCATCCCAATTTGCCTCACATATTAAAACAGGTATTTTGCCCTCTTTTTAAAATGGAAGCAAACATGTTTCACCCCTTCCCCTGAAGTGTAATTATTCTCTTCCTCTAGAAAGAAGGAACCAAGGCTGAGAGTTTTGGAGGAAGGTATACAAACAACCTGTGAAAAATGGCTCCAGCCTTTTTGTCTGTAAAATTGCCTTTAGACACAAAGTTAAATTATATCCATGTGACAAACACATGACTCAAATTCTGTTTGAAAATAAAAATCTGTTTCAAAATTAAAACAGGTAAGAATACTTAACCTCTGTGCACTTTGTTATATTTACCTTATATCTCAATAAAATTTCTTATAAACATTAAAGCAAGAAGACAAAAACTGTCATCAAACTCATTCAAAAACAACATGAAAACCTTGATCTGTTACAAGTATCCCAGAAATGAGCTCACTTTGGGAAAGACTCTGGGATCCTTCACAAATCCCTAAACAGAGAATCAGAGCATTTTCCTTGGAAGTAGTACATGTGTACTTTGGTAAACACTATTACAAGTGAGCCTTTTATGCTTGTTAGCTGGGTAAAAGAGTTATGAGTTTGTCCTCAACAAGAAGGTCTAAGAGGGGGCTGGGAAGGTGGCTCAGTGGTAAAGTGCTTGCCTCGCATCCATGAGACCCTGGGTTCGCTTCCTCAGCCACCTCATAAGCAAAAAAAAAAGCTGGAAGTGGCACTGTGGCTCAAGTGGTAGAACACTGGTCTTGAGCTGAAGAGCTGAGAGACAGCGCCCATGCCCAGAATTCAGGCCCCATGATGGACAAAACAAAAACAAAAAAAGAGAGGGTCTAAGAACAGGCACTACACACTTCAAGCATTAGGAGAACTGAATGGTAAGTTATGATTCTGTCAAAGAAACTCCACCTAGCCAGAAGCAAAGGAAGAGGGTAGTGAGCTTGACAGTATCTGACAAAGATGATCTCTCCCCATCTCTCCCTTAAAGAGGGTTTACCGACACCAGTACAGCTAGGAACTTTCCAGAGACTGGAGCTCTGGGAATCATATTGTAGTTTCAAATGGTAAGTAATTTTAGTGTCTTATAATCATGGTTTCTGGTCAAACACTAGCAGTGTGGTGATCCTTAATACATAAACAGAGACCATTAGCAATGTAAGGACCCTTAATACATAAACTGAACAGTATGTTAATGTAACTGGAAAGCTGTACCTGCATATTTATTGAGTAAATAACTCTAGACCTAGCTGTTTCCAAACCAACCTCTGACAAACCAAATTCCAGACATAATCTGTAATTCTTACTCTATTTGTAAAAATTAAGACTTGAAACCTTTTCAAATACTTCAATTCAATTTACTGTGGAAAAAATTCCCTTTTCCTGTATTTCCTCTTAATATATGCCAGAATCCTTTTGGTGTTTGGATTTATCCCAATAACTGGGGTAAATATTGGACCACTGGCAGTTTCTAATCACCTCTGCATTGAACCATGGGGAAGAGGATGTACCTCGCTTTCCCTATGGCAATCCTGTTCAGAATCCTAGATGTTCCTTGTCTGAACTATATTTGTTTACAATGGCTTTTTCCTTACTTCCATCACTTTTGCTCTCCAAATCACTCAGTTTCAAATCTGGGCAATACCCATTGGTCTCTGGATGTGCAGCTTTCTCAGAGTATTGCCTGAGATGCTGCCTACCCAGGAACTGCTCTTTAAGATTTATATTCTTGGTTTCACATAGCATTGGGGGCCCTCAGTGCTCCTTCCACATTTTTTGGTTGTTTCTTTACAGGATCTGAACTTTTCCAAAGTTGATTTTCTAAAGCTACTCTGACCAGCTAAGTGGGAGCCTTCTTTACAGGATCTGAACTTTTCCAAAGTTGATTTTCTAAAGCTACTCTGACCAGCTAAGTGGGAGCCTACCATGGGCTCCTGGTTATCGAGCATCTCACTAGCACTAGCTTCCTGGATGACATTCACAGGCAGATTGTCCTCAAGGCCATCTGACTTGGCAGACTTGGGGCTAGGCTCACTATTTCCATTGTTGCTACGAGACTGTCCATAGAGGACAGCCTCAAAGACTGGAGACTTCTCCACCTCCACTGACGACCCATGAGAAAACTCAGAAGATGGAGATTTCTGAGTAGGACTGGGACTGTTGGCTTCATTCTGAGAATGGTTGTGGCTGTCCAGCAAGCACTTATTCTTGCTTTCTAGCAGAGGCCTTGTAGACGATATCACTTGCAGGTCCAGTGGCTCTTCAGGCACCTCTAGGCTTCTTTTACTGAGAGTAAGCAAGCCACTGCTAGGGGAGCAGGGTCGATGATCAGTCTCTATGGTGCCATTTCTGCAATCTTCTGGTATTGGTCTGGCCCCCGACTTTAAGGCAACTTTTGATGGTGAGGAAAGTAGTGCATTCTCTAGTGAATTTGTCGAAGGAGATCCTGAGATGGAAAAGAATGATTTGTTTTCATAACTGATGTAAGTAATAGTGTATATGCTTGTGGCAGAGGGAATTAATGGACCCAATCTTCCTAGTGTTCACCAAAAAACTTTCATTGATACATAAGTACATCATGGTGTAAGTGGTGGGAACAGCACTAGAGGATGGGGCTAAGGGTGCTAATCTTAGTAGTGCCACTCTGTTCCATGGCTCCCAACTACCTTACCTCTCTTTTCCCTATCTGTAAAAGGATTACAAAGACTAGTATGCTGCTCCTTGTACTCCTAGTCTGCCTCTTTCCCCTCCAAACACAAGGTTACTAGCAGTGGTTTGGAATTGACACTCTACTTGTGTGTCTGGTTCATGCAAGCATAGGCAATGCATGGCACTGCTAAAGACATGCCTTGAACACAGACATTTCACATCCTATCCCTCCCTTCTCTCCTGGCCTTCCTCATAAATGCAGCACAGGTTTGGTCAGTAAGAATACATGTATGTTGTAACCTGTCATTAAAAGTGGGGTGTTCCTACAAGGTTTAGGCTCTTAACCTATAATAATATCCTGACTACAAGTTACCATGGTAGAGATTACAGGGACAACATTCCCACCTCTGTCCAGTTCCCTGGCTATGTTATCATATGATCATAGGTCTTTATTATGTTGAACACTTCCAAATTGAAAATATATATATATATATACTACCAAAAATTAATCCATGCATATGGACTTGCCATTTGCCACTATTATCTTATTGGAGCTTTGCCAAAAGGTATCCCCCATGGGCAGTGTGTGAGAGCCACAACCCCCATTTCTGTTGATTTTGCCAGCCACTCGGAGCTAAGCTATAACTTCTACAATTAGAAGCCAAATGTCTAGAGCCAATCTCTTCAGCACACAGGAGCTTTTCCTTGCTGTTCCTTGGGTCTTCTTGCTTTGCCAATCACATTGTCCTGTGACAGTATCATTGTCTCCTGCTACACCACTGTGCTTCTTCCTGTTATCACTCACAAATACCCCAAAGCCTCATTTGGCTGAGCCCAGGCAGGAGCTGATTCTGCATACCTATCTCAGTGACCCCTAGTGGCCTAGGCTGTTACTTATCTGTGTTAAATGAGAAGCAGAGAGGCTACAGGTATTACTGAATATGACTGTCATTACTCCAGCTAGGCTTCCATACAAGAAAGGATTCTGTCTAGTTTAGATCGGAGTCCCTAGTAAGTGCTCAACAAATGTTAATGAATAAATGAAAAGATAAGGGACACGTCTATTAATTTCTGGCTAAGACTTTATAGACTACTGGTGAATAACCCTGGAATTAAATGTTTTCTTGGAACTGAGATTCAATCTTATATTATTATTTTTTTATTACAACCACACTATTTCCAGATTTTATATAGTTAACTGGAGATAAGAGTCATAGACTTTCCTGCCTGGGCTTGCTTTGAACTACTACCCTCAGACCTCAGCCACCTGAGTAGCTAGGATTATACGTGGGATATTATTTATTGAGATTTTTGGGGGGGCTTGAACTCAGGGCCTGGGCACTGTTCCTGAGCTTCTTGTGCTCAAGGCTAGCACTCTACCACTGGAGCCACATTGCCATTTCTGGCTTTTTTTTTTTTGCAGGTCGTGGGGGCCTGATCTCTGGGCCTGGGAGCTGTCCCTGAGCTCTTCAGCTCAAGGCTAGTGCTCTACTGCTTGAGCCACAGCGCCACTTCAGGCTTTTTCTGCATATGTGGTACTGATAATCGAACCTGGGGCCTCATGCATGTGAGGCAAGCACTTGACCACTGAGCCACCTTCCCAGCCCCTGGCTTTTTCTTTTTATATGGCACTGAGAAGTTGAAACCAGGGCTTCAATGCATGCAAGGCAAGCACTCTACCACTAAGCCACATTCCCAGCCCATACTGAGATATCTTAATGATTTAGATCAATACAGAATAATTTCATGGCTTCAACTAAAGGCCTCAAACATATATTTGGGGTTTAGAGACTTGCAATTTCCAATCCTATCCTGAGATTTCAGCCTAATTAGATAACATGAGCCATGTTCATATCAGGACTAGGCTGAAGCAAATGAAATATCAGACAAGAACTTTAAAATATTTTAAGTCAAACATTAAAAAATTAAATTATTAAAAAGGATATAACTGGAGTCTGTATATTTTCTAGGACAATTTTAACACACAGGTTACCTGTAGCAATTTCGTCGTGCATAATCTGGGCTTGCAAGTTGAAGATCTGCTCCTGTAAGTTGTTCTGAGAGAGTTTCAGCTTCTCTCTTTTGCTTATCATGTAGCACAGATTTTGTACCTAAAAGCGCAATCCCCAGAAAATAGATATTTGTTACAGTAACAAAATTTGACAGTTAAAATTTATCTAAAATGAAGATGACTAAGGATGAAGAAGGGGATGGGTGAGAATGATGATAGATTCAAGGGCCACATACCGAGAGAATTCCACAGGAATTTCTACAGCCATCATGGGACATTATTCCCAGATTAAACAGTAGCAAAAGCAAAATGCTCCAAAGCTTCCTTCTGAAATCTGTTTGCTTTTGCAGAAACTTTGAGGTTTGAACTCAGGGCCTGGTACTTGCTAGACAAGCATTCTACTACTTGAGCCACTCACTCCAGTCATTTTTTGTTTAAGCTATTTTCAGATAGGGTCTTCATGCTTTTTGCCTGGGGCTAGACTTGGATCATGATCCTAATTAGCTATGCCTCCTGTGTAGCTGGGATTTCAGACATGTACCATCATTACTAGTGTGTTGAAATGGGGTCTCATTAGCTTTTTCCCCCAGACTGGCCTCAAGACAGCCTCTTCTCCATCTCTGGGGCATCCTGAGGAGCTGGTAGTATAGGTGTAAGCCACTATGCCCAACTTTAAAAATCTATTCTTTTTGTTGTGTTACAAGCTTAATATTTTCATGCATTATCAGAATGGGAAGAACAACTGCTGATTTAGCCTTCTCTTTCAGTTCCCAAGTACAAATGATGGGAGAGAAAGAGAAAAGTCTGTTTCCCAGATCGAAAGGAGTTTCTTTTTTTGTGCTGGTCCTGGGCAATGTCCTTCAGGACTTTGCTCAAGACTAGTGCCCTCCCATGTGAGTCACAGCTCTACTTCGTTTTTTAAGTTGTTCATTGGAGGTAAGAATCTCATGGACTTTCCTGCTAAGGCTGGCTCTGAACTGCGATTCTCAGATCTCAACCTCCTCAGTAGAAAATGGCTTTTTTTGCTCATACCTTCAGCTTAGTCAAGTTTCCATAGTCACCAGGGGGAAAACTTCTTCTCTCACACCCCTCACCTGTTCTGTGATCTAGTTTATGCTTCTGTAAATGGGGATGTTTAAGTATTTTCTTCCATAAGCAGGTTAAGATTAAAAGAATATTTACAAAATGTTTAGAAGAGTGTTGGTAAACAACAGTAATAACAACAGGGACTCTATGTGTATCTTAAACTTTTTTCATATCTCCCTGGGATAAAATGAGGGAGAGGGTGACACTGTTCAAATAGAAATGTACTCAGGCTTGGAATGAAGCCCTGGGTTCGATTCCTCACTACCACATAAACACAAAAGGCCAGAAGTGTTGCTGGCTCAAGTGGTAGAGTGCTAGGCTTGAGAAAAAAGAAGCTCAGGGACAGTGCCCAGGCCCAGGGTTTAAGTCCCAGGATAGGCAAAAATATATTTTTTTAAGGTCTCATAGATTTAGAGTTTAGGTAGCAGAAAGGAAATCCCCCACCACCAAGCCATTTCTATAACTGCACAACAGTAATACCAATAGGGACTCTATGTATATCTTAAAATTTTTCATATTTCACTGAGATAAAATGAAGGAGAGGGTGAAACTGTTCAAATAGAAATGTACTCAGGTTGGGAATGTGGCTTAGTGGTAGAGTGCTTGCCTAGCATGCATGAAGCCTTGGGATTGATTCCTCAGTACCATATAAACACAAAAGGCCAGCAGTGGTGCTGGCTCAAGTGGTAGAGTGCTAGCCTTGAGAAAAAAAAAGCTTAGGGTCAGTGTACTGGCCCTGAGTTCAAGACCCAGGACTGGCAAAAAACAAAAAACATATTTTTTAAGGTCTCATAGTTTTTGGAGTTTTGGTAGCAGAAGGACCCACCCCACCCCCGCACCTAGCCATTTCTATAACTGCACAATCAAGTTAAAGATTTCAGGGTAAACATAGCACCTAGTTTACCTTTGAACTCCTATAGCACCTAACTTAGTGGATACTTGGAGAATATATCCTGAGTTAAATTATCTGGTGGTGTGGCTGGAGCTGTCCTTAGCTGTGGGTCACACAACTAGGTGTGCGGAGTAGTGGAGGCCAGCAATGCTGCCAAGTATCTTATATTACCTCCTATAATTGAAGGCAGTGCCCCACAACATACAATCCGTACTATTCAGACTAAAACACCCAGAGTGCAGCAAGCACTTTCCTGAACCTAAAGTTCACTCTTTCCTCAGCCTGCAGTCTCTAAATTGTATAAGTAAATACAATCAAGCCAATTTAGGCTCAAAGTAATGAACAAACTAAGTAAACTAAAGCTGGGTGTGGGTGTCTCATGTCTGTAATCCTAGCTACTCAAGAGGCTGAGATGTGATGATCATGGTTAAAAGCCCCCTGGGCAGGAAAGTCGGTGACACTCTTATCACAAGTTAGTAACAGAAAAAGCTGGAAGTAGCACTGTGCCTCAAATGGTAGAGTAATAGAATTGAGCAAAAGAAGCTCAGGGACAGTGCCCAGGCCGAGTTGAAGCCTCAGGACCAGCAAAAATAAGGTAGGAAATTATAATAAAACAACAACAAAAATCATAAACATGAGCCTTGCCAATCCCCTGAATGTGCTAATCAAAATTTCAGAGGAGCCCCAGTGTCTCCAGACCATAGTAAAATCAGAAGATAGGCAAAGACCCAGGATACAGACTCTTGAGGAGGTCCTTTTTAAACTGGAAGTAGGACCTTTTATTTTTATGCAGACTATGATCTACACACTAGTCAGCACCAGTCTCCTTACCCTCTCCAAGTCCTGCCGCAGGTGCATAAACATTCTCATGCAAGTGTGAATATTTTCTTCTTTTGGCTGTACTAGGATGTTTTCTTCTTCCAACTTGGGAGGAAATAATGGTTTGTTGAAGTTGCTTTTGCGCTTGAGTTTCCAGTACTTATTGATGAAATCCACAGTTTCCAAGGGTAACTCTAGTTCTGCAGCCACGTCTTTTGATTTCACAAAGGAATAGAACTCTTTTTCTAGCTCATGAAGCTTCTGTGCCCTCATGTTATTTTTCTCACTCTTGTTCTGGCTTGGTTCAGCAGTCATGTGGTTGTGGGGCTCAACCTCCCCAAGTGACTGCCTATTTTGGCTGTGCTTGAGACAGAATGACTTGAACTTTACTTCGTTGCTATCATCTAGGATGGTCTTCATCTCTAGGTTGTGCTCAAAGGCACAGGTGACATGAAAAGCTGTGGTGCAGCTTCTTACAGAGCACTGCAGAAGAAAGGAGGGTTAAAGGCAACAGAACTAGGGGTGGTGGGGCAAGCAGAATCCTATGTTGAGCATATACTGAACTTGTATGAAGCCAAGGAAAAACAAGGACAAGGCACGACTATGAAAATGATTTATCAGTAACCTAGGAAACCTGTTCTTACAGAAAGGAACAAAATACAGAGGCAAAAACAATCCTTAGCAAAAAGAACAGTGCTGGAGGGGCTGGAAGGTGGCTCAGTGGTAGAGCACTTGCCTTGCATGCCTGAGGCCCTGGGATCGATTCCTCAGCACCACATAAGCAAAAAAAAAGCCAGAAGTGGTGCTGTGGCTCAAGTGGTAGAGTGCTAGCCTTGAGCTGAAGAGCTGAGGGAGAGCGCCCAGGCCCAGAGTTTAGGCCTCATGACCAGACCCAAAAAAAAATTTTTTTTAAAAAGAACAGTGCTGGATGAGTATCAATTCCAAATTTCAAACTCTACTACAAAGCCATAGTAATCAAAACAGCTTGGTACTGGCACAAGAACAGACCTCAGGACCAATGTAATAGAATTGAAAACCCAGAAGTAAACCCACACTCCTATAGCCACCTAATTGTCAATAAGGGAGCTAAAAAAAATAGAATGGAAGAAAGACAACCTCTTCAGTAAATGGTGCTGGCAAAATTGGTCAATCACCTGTAGAATACTAAAGCTAGATCCTTATCCTTATATATCACCCTGCACCAGAATCAACTCCAAATAGATCAAACACCACGGAGTCAAAGCAGACACCCTGAAAACATTACAGGACAGAATAGAAGAAACCCTAGTTCTACTTGGTACAGGTCGAAATTTTCTTAATAGAGACCTGGAAACACAACAAATCAAAGGTTGGTTGGACAAATGGGATTGCATGAAGTTTCAGAGCTTCTGCAAGGCAAAGGACCTAGTTAACAAGATCAACAAAAAGCCCATGGATTGGGAGAAGATCTTCATTAGCCATACAACAAACATGGGCCTCGTATCTAAAAGGTACTAAGAATACAAAAAATTAATTCCCTGAACAAGTCCTCAAAGAAACAACTGCCCAATAAATAAGTGGGCTATAGACTTAAAGAGAAACTTCTCTGAAGAAGAAAGAAGAATGGCCAATAGACATATGAAGAAATGCTCAACCTCTCTAGCCATAAAAGACATGCAAATCAAAACAACATTGAGATTCCACCTCACTCCAGTTAGAATGGCTAGAATCAAGAACTCTAATAACAACAGATGCTGGAGGGGATGTGGCCACAAGGGAACCTTACTTGATTCTTGGTGGGAGTGTTAACTTGTTCAACCACTTTGGAAAGCAGTATGGAGGTTCCTCAAAAGACTCCACATAGAGCTTCTCTATGACCCAGCAATCCCACTTTTGGGCATTTACCCAAATGTTTACAAACAAGACCATACCAAAGCTAAAAGCACAACTATGTTTATTTCAGCATTATTTACCATAACTATGATAGGGAACCAACCCAGATGCCCCTCAGTAAATGAATGGATCAAGAAAATGTGGTATATATACACAATGGAATTCCATGCCTCCATCAGAAAGAATGACATTGCCCCATTTGTTAGGAAATGGAAAGACTTGGAAAAAATTATATTAAGTGAAGTAAGCCTGGCCCAAAGAAACATAGGTCCCATGGTTTCCCTTATTTCTAATAACTAGTATATGCTTGGGACAAGTAGAAAAGGTCAAAAGCTTTGTACATATGACCAGATAAGATGATGTTAAGCGAAATGAACCCCAAGATAGGGACACAAGTGGGTTTTTTCTTGCTATAGTTTTTAACACATTTATAATGTCCCATGTGATTTTTTGTTTCTTTGTATGTTTCTCCCCCACAGTATAACCCTGTTCTCACTGTATTTGATGTTGGTACCCTGCATCTTATATATATATATA